AGAGGATGATCGGCTTCGATGTGAACTACGCGTCCGTAGCCGCGAGGGGCTCAAACGAGCGCGACTGCAGCGACGCACGGGCTTTCCTCTTGGGCAACGGCTGCAGCGTCTACGTCATCGCATGGCCGGCGTGGGCGGTGCCGCTGGAGGCGAAGACGCTGATCAGGCCGCTGGGGGCGCAGGAGCTGGTGCACTTTGGCCGGCGCCGACCGTCGCGGGAAGCCACCGGGCGTTGCGAGAGCCAGCCGGGGGGCCCAGACACCTTGGCCTCGCGACGGCTGGTGCTGCGCTACCTGGCCCGAGCGGAGAAGGGCAGGGCCGACGTGCGCCTGGGCTGCGGCCCCCCCATGCAGGCCGCGCGGGCGACCGCGGTCGAGCCTCGACCCGCTCGCGCGTCGGTGGCGCGCGGCGCTGAGCATGGCGTGGTCTGCGGCCCAGAGCGCCCGCGTAAACTTCCGAGAGCTGCAGGCGGCGGCGGCTGCGTTACGGCGGCGCGCCCGCACAGCGAGTCCGCGCGGCAGCAGGTGGCCCCGCCTCGTCGACAGCCAGGTAGTCGCGGCGATCGTGGCGAAGGGCAGGGGCAGCAGCCGCCGCCCCCGGCCCGCCCTGGCCAGGTGGGCCGCGGTCGTGGCGGCCGCCGACATGCACCCAGACGTCGGCCACGTCGCGTCGGAGGACAGCCCCGCCGACGAACCGTCGAGGAGGTCGCGGCGTGGCTCGCGGCTCAGGACCGCCGCGCCCAGGCCGCCCAAGCAGCTGCCCCCGCGCCGCAGGGGTCCCCCGCCGCGCACGCTCGGCTGAGGCCAGGCGCCCTGCGGGCCCAGTCGCTGTTCCTGCTCCGCGTGGGCGCCGCGACATGGCACGGGCACTCCGCCGCGGTCGGCCGCCTGCTGGAGCACCGCGGCGTCGAGGAGCTGGGCCGGGGGGGCGAGGGCGCCGACGCGCTCGCCCCAGGGTGCCTGGAGTTCCTCCTGGGCCTCGGGCGCAGGCATCGCGGCGGCGAACAACTCGGTGGCGGGCGCGTGCTTCTTCAGTCCGCGCCTGAGGCGCAGGTTGGATCTGGGCGCTGCTGATGACTTGGCGGAGGAGGGGGCCCGCGGCGCGCGCGATCCCGCTCGCGCCCGAGATCGTCGGGGCCATGGCTGGCCTAGCGCTGGAGGCAGGCCGAGTCGACGTCGCGTGCCTCTTGTTGGTTGCTTTCGAGGGCCTGCTGCGCGGAGGCGAGGCTTTCGCGCCGCGCAGTGGCGACGTGGCTTTCAGGGGCCAGCGCGCCGCCCTCAGCATCGCCTCGCCCCAGGGCTCAGCGGGGCGCGACGCAGCGGATGCGGTCGCCATCAGGGCGCCGATCGCCCTCCAGCTGCCGCGGCTCGTCACGCGCGGCCTGGGCGAGGGTGGCAGGCTCAGCGCGCTGTCGCCGCGCCAGCGGCGGGCGGCCCTCGCAGCGCTGGTGGAGGAGCTCGGCCCCCAATGCCCTGCCCGTTCAGCTGGCGCAGCTGCCGCCGCGGCGGCGCGTCAGAGTGCTTCCTGCGGACCGTGGGCATGGGGCTCACCTTGGTCCGCGGGCGCTGGGCCGGCAGGGCTTGCTGGCCGACCTCCGGCGCCCGGACAAAAAGTGCCCGCGCCCAGGGCGGCGAGACATTGCGACGCGATAGCAACCGCAGCAGCATGATGCACTTGCCTCGCACCCCCCCCCCCCCAAACCCAAAGTTGAAGTGTCCACATTTTGCCCCTGGCGCGCGGCCTGCCGCCTAACCCCGCCAACTTTGAGTTGGGGGAAAAGGGGGTTTACATATTCGTTCGACGTGATTTGACGACGAGTTGTCTTGGCGCGACAAGTGCGGACACTTTTTGTCCGCCCACCGTGGTTCTTATGCTCTTGATTGGTGCTGCAATACGGCCAGGGCATTGGATAAGGAATCGCTGGGTAAGGAATCCAGGGTCTCGAAGCCAGTGGGCCTCCAATCGTGGATCGGCCATGGGCATCGCCACCGTCCTCATCGGATAAGGAACCCTCCAGGGTCTGATGCCTCCTGGGCGCATTCCTCAACCAACGCCTGCACCGTAAATGTGGGTGCGTCTCGCGAGAAAGCCCGGACACGGACAGAGGGGGGAGGAGAGGTGCGGAGGACGGCGGATGTTGATGATGTCGGTGATGTTGACGATGTCGATGATGTTGGTGATGTTGATGATGTCGACGATGCTAATGTTGATGATGTTAAAGATGTTGATGCTGGTGTCGATGTTGATGGTTATGAAGTTGGTGATGCCGGTGATGTTGGCGATGTCGATGATGCTGGTGATGTTGATGATATCGACGATGTTGATGTTGATGATGTTGTTGGTGTTGATGTTGGTGGTGATGCCAGAGGCTGGCACCGCTGGATAGAACTGGATAGAACTGATAGAACTGGTCATAGAACTGTACAGCTGGCCCATTAAAAATAGGGTCCGGCCTAGAACTGGTCGGTCCAATTAAAGAACATCCAAGAATATCAATAATTCTTTTTTAAAATGCGACCAGTTCTAGGCCGGACCCCATTTTCAATGGGCCAGTTCTATGACCAGTTCTATGACCAGTTCTACCCTGTTATACCAGTTCCGCGCCGTCGGAGGCGATGGCGGGGGATCCCGGCGTCGGCCTCGTGATTTGAGCCAGACGGTGGTGGGCCCCCAGACCCTGTCTCGAAGTGGCCATGTAGGTTGTCCCGTGGCTGTCCCGTGGGTAGTCCCACGGTTGTCCCAAGGGCTGCCCCGTGGGTTGTCCCGTGGTGGTCCCGCGGGTTGTCCCATGGGTTGTCCCGCGGTGGTTCTGCGGGTGTCCCGTGGTTCCGTATACGCGCACATCGTCATTTAATTGTGTGTCGTGCTGGACGCATAAGCACGCACCAACACACACTTAAATGCACGCACACATGTAAGCACGATGACACCATGAAACCACCAAACACATCTAACCCGGACGGTGCCCGGACAAAAAGTGTCCACACCCGGGGCGGCAAGACACTGCGACGTGATAGCAACCGCAGCAGCATGATGTACTTGCCTCGCACCCCTCCCCCCCCAAAACCCAAAGTTGAAGTGTCCACATTTTGTCCCTGGCGCGCGGCCTGCCGCCAAACCCCGCCAACTTTGAGTTGGGGGAAAGGGGGGTATACATATTCGTTTGACGTGATTTGACGACGAGTTGTCTTGGCGCGACAAGTGTGGACACTTTTTGTCCGCCCACCGTCGCGCGGGTCCAGCGCGGTGACGCGCAGGCGACGCTCATCCGACAGGGGTTCCAATCGCTGCGTGTCTTCTCCGAACAGCCCTAGTGCAGTATCTGTTCTTGTCTGTGTGTAGAACGCTCGCATTTATTGGCGCCTCCTTCTCACCCGCCCCGCCTCTCGAGGTCCTCTTCCTGATTCGCCCCCATGGGCAAGCCAGCGTTGGCCTGTGGGGTGCCACGGCGTCTCTGTGGGGGTCCTGGGCCGTCGCGGAACTATTCGGCGGCCCCTCGCTCTCGGCTTGGCGCAGCTGCTTCGGGGTCGACACAAGGACGCCGTGGTCGCAGGTGTTGGCGGAGTCCAGAACGGGGTGCAGGTTGTAGGCAAAGAGGTGGCGGCCCTTTTTCGCGCGGGTCTGGCCTCAGAGGTTGTTTTTCCTGTCTCGTCCATGGGCAAACCAGCGGTGGCCTGTGGTGTGCCACGTCGTTCCTGGGGGCCCTGGTCCGTCTCGGGCCGTTTCGGCGGCCCCCCGCTCTTGGTGAGGCACAATTGTTGCTGGGTCGTGCCAGGGACGTCGTGGCCACAGGTGTTGGCGGTGTCCTGAAAGGGTTCAGGTAGCAGGCATGAGGTCAAGACCTTCTGCTCGCCCGCCCCACCTCTCGGAGTCCTCTCGCAGGCGGGGGGCGGCGGCCCTCTCCCGACCCACCCTCGACGGCCCTCGTCCCGATCGCCCCGAGAGAAGGTGCAGGTTGGAGGGTGAGACGGAACGGTCGGGGGGAGGGGGTTTCACACCTAAAATAGGTCTGGTCTAACGGCCATTGTGGCTTGTCGCCGATGTATCGGCGGTGCTGCGCCGATCCCTGGTCATTGCTATCCCCCCCCCCCGTGAGCTTTCCCACGCGCCCTCGCTCCTCTTCAGGAAAGGGCCAAATACCCATAGTAGGCCGCCTCGGGTCGGAGTCTCGCTCTCCCTCTCTCTTTCTCTCTTTCTCTTTTTTGTTTTTCTCTCTCTCTCTCTCTCTCTTTCTGTGTCTATCTTTTTTTTGTTCTCGCTCTCTCTCTCTCTCTGTCTTTCTCGATGAAAGAAGCGCAAGAGAGACAGACAGACAAACAGAGGTGGCGACAGAGACAGCGCGAGAGAGAGAGAGAGACCGCGTAACAAACAGGGCGTAAACAGATCTGCCGGACGCAGGGCCTGTCCGTCTGTGGACACTGTTTCGCTCTCCTTGGACCTTTGGAGACCTCGGGGGAACTCTGGGGCAGAGACCGCCTCCTCACTCCTCCGTTTGATTTGGGGCGGCCAGGCGATCCTGGCCGCCCCCTCGTTCTAATCCGCGACTGCGGGGTCTCTTGCGTGCTCTCTGCGTCGGCGCTCCTCGCGCTCCTGCCGTAGCGTTTGTGGGACTCTGGCCGGCTGGCAGCCGGAGGTCTGGGCAAGGGGGTCGAGCGAGGGGGGATTCGGGGTTTGCTAGAGGTGCCCCTGGCCCGGTGCTGCAAGCTTGTCGCTCCATTTTGGTGCCCCGTGGGCCCCCCCAGGCCCCGTGTGGTGTGCTCGGAGGCCGTGGGGGCCTCCTTGGAAATCCTGGGGGCACCTTGGGTCAGGCGCACTTCTAGCTTCTAGCACCACCCGACGAGGGGGGTAGTGGCGTTCTCACAGTGCAGGGGGTGGGGGCGTGTCGGGAGGGATCCGAGGCTTCTCCAGAAGCCCTCTGCCTTCGGAGAAGGCCGCTCCCCTCGTCCCGAGCTCCTTGGTGCGCGTCGCCAGCCCACCGTGCCCCAGCCGCGCTGTCCCAGGTTCGGTATCTCGCCAGTGAACCTGGCGCTCGGGCAGGCCGATTGCGTCGCGGAGGTGTTGCTGAAAGGGCTGCAGGAGGGCTGTCGCTTTCCTCCTTCTTGTGTTCCTCTTGGCTTGAGGCAGGAGCGTGGAACAGCCCCATGCTCGAGGCCCTTGCAAACGTGAGGTCAATTCCAGGTCCATCGCGCTCTCGACTGTTCTGGGGTCGTTGTCTGATCGAACCCTCCTTTGTTTTCCTTTAAAAACAACAAGCATTGTGCTTTATCTGTCGAAGGTCCGCGCGGGCTTCTCGGGTCGGCATTGGACCTCTCTGGTTTTTGGACGGTGCAGACCAGTTGTGGGCATTCGGAGGCTTCCGGGAACCTCGCAGGGGCAAGGGTGGATGAGGTGGATGGAGGAAGGAGGAGACAGAGGAAGCAAGGGCTTAATGGAGGGAAGCGGGGAAGTGAGAGTTGAGGAGGAACAGGAGCAGGGGGAGGAGGAGCAGGAGGAGGAGGCGGGAGGCGGATGGGGGAGGAGGATGCTTAGGAGGGGGAGGAGCCGGGGCAGCAATAGGCTTCGCATCGCTCGGACGTGTGCATTGTTTGTCGGCGAGGACCATTGAGGTGTTTCTTGAATCACCTTGCGACAAAATGATCGCACGAGCTCGAACAATGCATGGTGCATGTGCAATGGACGTCCCGGCGGTGGCGAGTAGGGGAGGGCTAGGGGAAGGGTGAGTGGGAGAACGATGTAGGAGTGAGGAGCACGGGGAGAGGACGAAGGAGGAGCAGCAAGAGGAGGGCGAGGAGGCGGTGAAAGAGAAACTCGCTTTCGGAGGAGCCGCAAAGGCAGCAGTAGGAGACGGAGTGCAGGCTTGACGCCTCTAACGTGTGTCGTCGATACCGCCGTAGTCGTTGTAGTCTTCGTCGTGGCCGTGGGCGTCGTGGTTGTGGTTGCCGTGATTGATGTCTCCGTGGTAGTGGTCGTTGTGGTGGTGGTTGCCGTCGTCGTACGCATCGGTCGGGCTGGGCAAGGGCCAAGAGGCAGCTTCGCACAAAAGCTTACGGCTCCCAGGGGTGACCGCCACCGCCGATCCCGGGCACCTTTCCGCCGAGCCGTGGAATAGCGCGCGTGCGATCTTCTCTCATCTCCTACCCTTCGCCCAGAGTCCAGGATCGAGGGTCCAGAATCGAGGCATGCGATCATTCCCAAGCATCCTGTGGTGTTGGGCCCTCGTTTTAAAGAGAGAGCGCCCATGCGTCACCTCAACTCTATCCTCGTCCCTCCTTTCTCCCGTCATCTTCCCTCTGCCCTCCGCCTGCCAACCTGTTCGGCACACCCCTCTCGCGCTTCGTAGCTCCATAGGGAGCTCCGCCGAAGGCCCCAGTGGCAAAGTCCACATGCGTTTCCCCGCCTATTTCGGCACACCTCACACGCTGCGCGTGGCCCCACAGGGAGCTCCGCCGAAGGCCGCAGTGGCAAAGCCCACATGCGTTGCCCTGCCCGTTGCGGCACACCCCTCACACGCTTCGCGTCTCCACAGGGAGCTCCCCAGAAAGCCGCAGTGGCAACGTCCACATGCCTTTCCCCACCCGTTGCGGCACACCCCTCACGCGTCTCCTGCTCCACAGAGAGCTCCACCGAAGGCCCCAGTGGCAACGTTCACCTGCATTTCCCCACCCATGTCGGCACACCCCTCACACGTTGCGGAGCCCCACAGGGAGCACTACCGAAAGTCTTATTGGCAAAGTCCACATGTGTTTGCTCGCCCATTTCGGCATACCCTTCGCATGCTGCGTGGCCCCATCGGGAGCTCCACCGAAAGCGGTGCCCACAACGCGGTACTCACAATTGCAGTCGGTTGGGTCTTTCGCCATGATACTTGTTAGGATATCTTGTTGGCTTCCTGGAGCGGTCTCCTCGATCGTTGTTATCGTCGCCTTGGCTGGTCTGGTTCGAAGCCCCGGGGAGAGCGCGCCCTCCAACAGGTCTGAGGGTCGATTTTGAGGATCCATGCGGCAGATTCGCACGGCATCGGCGCGGCGGCAGTGCGGGCGTAGGCGTCCAATGTCGAAGACCATTCGAAGTCGCCGGAGGCGTCTGGAGGTCTCCCCAGAGGCCTCCAGTGGAGGCTCAGCTGAACATTCCAGAAGCAACATCTCCGCATTATTATGCTGCGAGCGATCCCCACTCGAGAATCCGTGGTCAGGTACCCAGGCAGCACTTTCACCTTGGGGCCTGGCGGCCGCGGCATGCAGTCGTCATTCGTCGAATCCGCGAGGCGGGATGCCCAGCGACCACCCGCACACCTTTGGCCTGGCACACCCGTGCGAGGCAGGTCGGGAGCTCCGCCCCTTGAATGGTAACAACCCCCCGACCTGTTGGGTTGACCGCAAGCCGAAACGTGCTCAGAGGGGACAGTCTTTGGGAGCCCCTGACGGCACGGACCTTCCACGGCCGAGATAGAGATGGTCTCCGGAGTTAGGCATGTGGACCGCTGCATGAGGTACCTCACACACTGCTGTTCGTTTCAATGTGATGGCGTTGGCCTCAAGGTGGGAACGCAGAGCCTCGAGGTGAGGAGCCGTGCCGCCATGTGCCTCGTTGCTGCTGCCTGATGTTCTTTCCGATTGGCGGAGCAGGCGCCTGAGGAAGCCATGGGCGGTCCACGGCCGAACGGCTCATGTGATGACAGCCGCGCGCGCCGTCATGGCAGGAGCCTGCCGTACCCCCTCCGGGCTCCTGGCCCCCTGCTCCTGCCCCCTTCCGCAGTCCTCCTTCTCATGCCTCGTATGCAGCAGTCGAAGCCATCACTGGCCTCCCCGTGTAAGTCGGCGGCGAGCCCGGGGGGGGAAGCGAGAAGGGGGGGCGGGCTTTCTCAGAAGGCTCATCGGAAGTCCCCGGGCCTTCTGACAAGTTTTCTAAACCTTCCCTCCACCCGAAGCCAGAGAAAGAATTTCAGAAGGCCGGAGGGAAGCCCCACCGCTTTCTTACAAGGCTTTATCCGTCTCATTCCCCCCCCCGCCGCTCGCCGCCGAGTAAGGTTTCATGGAGTTCCACGCGCATGCGCAATCTCCAACGATCTCAGGGCGGTCTCTGGCCCACGGAGCAATGGCGGCCCTCGAATCGAGCGAAGTCTTCGTAGTTATGGTTTTGCTGTGTTGCCGTTCGGATCAGCATCGCGGTGAGGTTAATTTATTCATGCGCTCCCTTCCCTGCGTCCTCGAGTTGCACGAGCTCTGCCCATGAATGTGCTTTAATGAGACATCTGTCTGTCTTCGATCCCTCATTCCCCCTCCCTCCTTCCTCCTTCTTCCCTTCCTGCGTCAATGTCTCCAGGAGGAGCGAGGGGAGGTAGGCGGTGTCAGAGGAAGGAGGGAGATGGGGCGGTGGAGTATGAGGAGAAGGAGGAGCAAAGGGAATGAGGGCGGGAAAAGGAGGAGAGGCGGAGTATGAGGGGGATGAGGCGGGGGATGATGAGGAGTGGCAGCAGGGGGATGAGTGATTAGTTCAGCTTGGTTGTTTTGTTAGTGTCACATGTTATATTGCTGCTTGTCCTGGTTGATTGAGGATGGTGGTAGTGGCAGTTTGATGATCATGGCAATGACGACGGTCACGATGATATGAGATGAGGGACGGGGGAGAGGTGTGGAGAATGAGTGAGTGATCTTTGGAAGGGGGATGGAGAGAGATGGGGAGGAGTGGGTTGGGCTGCGGGCCAGGAGGGGCAGCAGTGGTGAATTAGCTAGTAGTAGTAGTCGTAGTAGTAGTTATAGTAGTAGTAGTAGTAGTAGCAGCAGTAGTAGTAGTTGTAGTAGTTGTTGTAGTAGTACTCGTAGTAGTAGTAGTAGTAGTAGTAGTAGTAGTAGTAGAAGTAGTAGTAGAAGTAGTAGTAGAAGTAGTAGCAGTAGTAATAGTAGTAGTAGTAGTAGTAGTAGTAGTAGTAGTAGTAGTAGTAGAGTAGTAGTAGTATTAGTAGTAGTAGTAGTAGTAGTAGTAGTAGTAGTAGTAGTAGCAGTCGCAGTAGTAGCAATACTAGTAGTAGTAGTAGTAGTAGTAGTAGTAGTAGTTGTAGTAGTAGTAGTAGTAGTAGTACTTGTACTGGTACTGGTACTAGTACGAGTACTAGTAGTGGTAGTACCAGTAGTAGTGGTAGTAGTAGTAGTAGTAGTAGTAGTAGTAGTAGTAGTAGTAGTAGTAGTAGTAGTAGTACTGGTAGTAGTAGTAGTAGTAGTAGTAGTAGTAGTAGTAGTAGTAGTAGTAGTAGTATAGTAGTAGTAGTAGTAGTAGTAGTAGTAGTAGTAGTAGTAGTAGTAGTAGTAGTAGTAGTAGTAGTAGTAGTAGTAGTCAAGTAGTAGTAGTAGTAGTAGTAGTAGTAGTAGTAGTAGTAGTAGTAGTAGTAGTAGTAGTAGTAGTAGTAGTAGTGGTACTACTAGTAGTAGTCGTAGTAGGTAGTAGCAGCAGTCGCAGTGGCAGTAGCAGTAGTAGTAGTAGTAGTAGTAGTAGTAGTAGTAGTAGTAGTAGTAGTAGTAGACGTAGTAGTAGTAGTAGTAGTAGTAGCAGTAGTAGTAGTAGTAGTAGTAGTAGTACTAGTAGTAGTACTAGTACTAGTAGTAGTAGTAGTAGTAGTAGTAGTAGGAGTAGGAGTAGTAGTAGTAGTAGTAGTAGTAGTAGTAGTAGTAGTAGGAGTAGTAGTAGTAGCAGCAGTAGTAGTAGTAGTAGTAGTAGTCGTCGTCGCAGTAATAGTAGTCGTCGTTGTCGTCGTTGTCGGTGTTGTAACTGTTGTTGTCGTTGTTGCTGTTGTTTGTGATGGTGTTGTTGAAGTCTCACTTCGGAGGAATATATGTTGGGGACCCCCTTCCTGTAATCATCGTGTTCTTCAAGTGTGAAGTGCTTCTCCTGTGGTTCGCACCCCATGTTCTTTTGAGAAAGCAAGCGTGCGTGCCAGAGCTATGAGTATAGTTTAGGGATGTTGCGAGGGCGCAGGACCGCAGCCTTCTTGGTTCGAAAAGGATCGCGGCTCCGTGGGGGGTGCCGCGCATGGTAGCGGAGCCCGTGGCCTGAGGATCCACGGGTTTTGCGTCGGAGGTGCGAGCCCAGAAGTCCAGCGGGAAGCACCTCGGGCTGCGGAGGGCAGCCTAGCATTCCAGCGGGGACCTTCGCGGGCTGCGGAGGGCAGCGCGGGCCGCGGAGGGCGCCCCAACGCCCCGCGGGAAGCACCGCGGAGCAGCGGAGGGCAGCCCCAGACCCCTTGCAGGCCGAGGCGGAGCCTCGGCGGGCGCTACAGCGACGCGGCGCAAAAAGCAGAAGAAGCAGCGAGGGCGGCGGTCGGGGGGCGCCGCCGGGTGACGGCAGCGGCGCGGAGACGTCTGCAGGCTGCTGGAGTCGGCGCTGCGCCTCGTCGAGAAGATCGCCGGGCGCGAGCTAGACCTGCCAACGTTCGCGCGCCGCGTGTTCGGGGACGTCGTCTTCGACGATGGGCCGGGTCACGCTTGGCCGCTCGACGTCGCGGGCGAGGGCGGTCGCTCCTTCATGCCCTGCGAGAGCGGAGCCTACACGGCCTTCGCATCGCGGAGGTAGAGATGGAGGAGGCGCTGCGAGAAGCAGCGGCGCAGCAGGCAGGGGCGACCCCGCAGCCGCGGCCGCTGCTGCAGCACGAGCCTTGCCGCAGCAGCCGCCGACGCCCAACAGGTGATGGACGCGCTACGGACGGCGACGGCTCGCGCGGACGCTGCCGAGAAGCGAGCCCAGGAGCTGGAGGCGCGAGCAGAGGCGACAGCCAGACAGCAGAATACTTAGCTTCAACAGCTTCAGAAGGCGCCCCAGCAGCTGATGACCGCCCCGCGGCGACGAGCCCAGCGCCGGCGAGGAGCGAGGATCGTCGGAAGTGGGGCATCATCGACGCGAAGCTGCTGACGAAGCCAGCCCAGTTTCAAGGGCAGCGAGGCAGCGTGGCCCGCGTGGTCGTTCAAGCTGCCGGCGCACATCGCGACGCTAAGACGACGAGCTGCGCCAAGAGATGATCGCGGTCAGGCAGAAAGCCGAAGCAGACGTCGCCAACGAGACTTTCGACCCGACGAATCCAGCGCTCGTCGGCGCGTTTCGGCAGCTGCACCACATGCTCGTGCTGCTCCTGGAAGGCAAGGCTTTCGCCATGCAGCGGCCGACCCCGAAGGGCGAAGGACTGCTGATGCGGCGCAAGCTTGCGAATGAGTTCGAGCCCGACCAACCAGCGTCAGCTCTGGGTCGGATGAGGTGGCCGATGGGGGTGGGCGTTCGGAGCGGCGACGATCGAGACCGACATGAACGAGTTCGACGCGGCGGCCCAGGCGCGCGGGCGGCGCGGCAGCGCGGTGCCCGCCGACATCAAGGCGGCGATCCTCCTAGCGGGGATCCAGGACAGGGACCTCCAGCAGTGGCTATGGTGAACGCCGACCGACTCGGGGATTGCGACGGGATCGCGCAGCACGCGAAGGCGTACCTGGCGGACAGGAAGACGTTCAAGGTCGCTGCAAAAGGCGCCGCGGCGGGGGCCACCGCGGCGGGCAACGGCGGACCAGCGCCGATGGACATCGGGTCCCTGACGGCGGCGTCGGCAGCAGGAGGGGTGGCCCCCAAAGGGGTGACGATGGTCACAAACGCCATCAAGAAGGGCAAGGGCAAGGGGAATGGGGAAGGGAAGAGCAGAGGAAAAGACGGCGGCAAGAAGGGATACGGGGAGCTCTTCGACAGAAACAGGGACTCCCGATCCCAGCACCAGACGCAGAAGGACGGCAAGGGCAAATGTGGCAATGATGGGCAGCGCGTCGAGACGCGGACGTGCAGGAGGTGGCGTCAGAAGGGCCACCCGATGAGAGTCTGCCCTGGCAAGACTACGAGAGTGAACAGCGCAACCAACAAGACGATCGAGTTGAAGGACGCGTTGGGTTCGGTTCAGCTGTTCACGCCTGCGACGAGCTCAACAGCGCCGAGCGCGCCGTCCGCGGCGCCGAGCAGCGTCGCCCCGGCGCGGGCCAACGCCGCGCAGCTGTCAACGGCGAGCTCGGTGGCCGCTCCGGGTGGCGACCGCTCCAGCTCAGGGGGTGGCGGGGCCGTCGGGAATCGCGTCCGCCATCCAGTGGGCGCTTCGCCCGGCGGCTCAGGCATCGGATCCCGTGAGTCGGATCTCGATGACGCGAGCTCCATTGGCTGACGGCCCAGGGCTCGATTACGAGAGCTGCGAGGAATGCACCATGGTGGGCTTGGGGGGCCTCCAGAGCGACGCGCCCACTCAGCCACGCCCCGAGCGCGGCGATGCGCGAACCTACCAAGCTCTACGACGTCCGCGCTGCGGACGACGGGCGCGCGAAGCACCGCGGCGAGAAGAGCGTGCAGCACAACCTGTTGGACAGCTTAGACGTGCGCGGAGTGGGCGTGGACTGCCAGGTCGCCGGCGTCTCGCGCCCCATCACGGGGGTAGCCGAGGCATGCGACAACGGCCACACTGCGCTGTTCTCGCCGACGGGCTCGCACATCGTGCCCGCGGCGCTCAGTTGACCGGGGGGCGCCGCCCACGCGCCTCTTGCGCGACAGGACAACCTGCTCTGGATGCGAGGGCGCGTCGCGGGAGCCACCGCGACGGCGTCCGAGACGCTGCGGCTCGACCCAGTCGGGGCCGAGGCGCCCGCGGCGGCGGCCCCCGCGGCGGCCGAGCAGCCCCAGCGCGAGAAGGCGTCGCTGGCAGAGGCGGAGCCCGACGGGGCGCCAGCCAGGGCGAAGTGGGCGCCACCGCCCCCCAGCCAGGAGGACATCGACAAGCACGAGCTCACTTCGCTCACCTCCCACCGCGAGGTTGGCGCGACAAGCGCGCCAGCCAAGGCAGCAGGCGGCCCGCGCCGACAGGGCGGCGGGCCTGGCCGCGTCGGCGAGGTGCATATGGACTACCTGCAGCTCGTCGCCGTGGCCACATCTGAGGAGCTGGCGGGCTCAGCCGACAGCATGGCTCGGTTGGCTCCAGCGGGTCAGCAGATCGACCAGGCCGTCCTTATGCCGCAGCTGGTGGGCCCAGTCGATGGCGACGGCGTGGAGGTGCTGCTCAACGTGCCGGTGGTGGCGCACCGCCAGTCTGCCGCGGTGCGCGTGGTCTTGGGGCCGGAGGGTAGGCATCCCGTCATGTCCATGGCAGCGAGTGCAGCGATCGACGCCCGGGGCATCGCGGAGTGCATCCTGCGCACCGACCATGAGCCATCAGCCCAGGCGCTGGCCGAGCAGATCTCCGAGGAGCGGAAGCTGAAGGGCTTCAAGTGTCTGCTCGCGGCACCGCCTGTCAGGGGCCACGCGTCGATGGGTTTCATCGAGGCCATGAACGACCAGGTGGCCAAGCAGGCGCGCGTGATCAAGATCCAGCTCGAGTCGGGCATGGGCGTGCGCATCCCCGTGTTCCACGAGGTGATGCCGTGGGCGGTCAGGCACGCTGGGTGGCTCCTCGCACGATTTGCTTCGAGGCAGGCCGCTGGCAAGACGGCCTATCGCGTCAATCGAGGCAAGCCGTGCCGCGGGGAGGTGGCCGCGCTCGGAGAAGTCGCCCGGGCCCGCGTGCCAGGCGACCGCGCGCGGAAGGCAGATGCCCAGTGGCGATTAGGTGTTTGGCTGGGTAAGGCCGAGAAGAGCGACGAGCACTTGGTCGGCGGGTCGCGGCAGACCAGTCTACACCAGGCGATCGGGAGGCAGCCGAGGGAGCGGAGGTTCAACGTGGGCGCGCTGGACAGCTTCGCGGGACTGCCTTGGGACCTCCAGCCCAAGCCCGAGCGGGCAGACACCGCTGCAGGGCAGCCCTGGGGCGGCGCCGAGCCCCGCCACGGAGCCAGCCTGGCGAGGGCCCGCCAGGCGCAGGCGCGACAGCGCCAGGCCGAGGGGGCGCATCCATCGGCAGCGGCAAGCAGCAGCGCCGCAGCAGCAGCAGCAGCAGCAGCAGCTCCAGTGGCGGAAGAACCAGCACGACCACCTCCAGGACCATTGGATGCCTCCGCCAGCACCCCTGCCCGAGCCGAGGCTCGGATGGGCCGCCTACGTGACGAAGAGGATGATGCGGACCTGCGGGCCCACCATGAACTGTCCGAGGTGCTGGGGAGGAGAGGCGGCGCACTCTCGCGCGCGCAGGAAGCGCGTGGAGGGGGGCTCCTGGATGAGGCGAATCAGCAGGCAGCGGCTCAACCGTTGCCAGGCGACGCCACTGCAGCCCCAGAGATGGAGATTGATGCGGCGGCGGTCGACCCCGCGGCCGCGATGGCAGCTGCAGCAGGTGGCGCAGCAACAGCGGCGAGCTCATCCCAGCCACCTCCTGCAGAGGGTGGCTTAGCGGGCGGCTCCGCGGGGATGGGCGTTGACTCGAGGAGCCGACCAGCAGCCCCCGCGGACGGCGAGCCACGGTCGAAGGCGCCCAGGGTGGCCAACCTCGCGGCGCCCGTGGACATCAGCGAACCTGCCGACTTGGGACTCGACGGCGAGGACTGCGAGCGGCTGCACCTGCTCGCGGCGCCCGCGCGTGATCGGGAGACTCCGACAGCATGGGCGCGCGACCTCTTGCCGGAGGAGGTGGCGTGCGACAGCTGCTCGGGCGAGGTGCTGCCGTGGGAGCTCGCGGCGCAGGGGCGCCAGCAGAAGCTCAACCAGATGGCCGCGCTCGTGACATGCGAGGACGTGTCCGACGACACAAGCGTAGGCAGGCGCATGCGGAGCAAGTGGCGTGACGGACTCCGATACAGGCCAGACGGGACGCCCTTCGCACGGTCGGGACTCGTTGCCATGGACTTCAACCTCTCCGAGCGCGACGACGTGGCAGCAGGTGCGCCATACCTGTGCTACATGCGCCTGGTAATGTCCCTGGCTGCCTCGGAGCCCCCGTCGGGGCATAGGCAAGTGGCTCTGTGCGATGCCAGCGTGGCGTTCTTCCACGCGGACATGGACGAGTGGTTGTGCGTGATGCCACCGCCTGGGTTGCGACGGCCTGGGCGGGTCTGGCAGCTCCGCGAGGTTCTCTACGGTGCGAGACTTGCGTCGAGGCTGCGGCAGGCATGCGTCGGCGACGTCTCCGAGAAAGGTCAGCCACCATGGGTTCGGATCACGCCTTGCCCTGGCGCCTTCTACAACGAGACGTTGGACGTCGCGCAGGGCGCGCACGGTGACGACTTCGCGGCCGATGGGGTCTCGGCGAAGCTCGACGTGCTCGACGCGTGGATGGAGCACATCGAGATCAAGAAGCTGGGTCGAGTGGGGCCGGGTGCCACCGGCGGTGTCCGCGGCAGGCTGTTCAAGCGACACATCGAGTGGCGGGAGGTTCCGCCCCCTCGCTTCGTGTGGAGAGCAGATGACTCGCACGTGGACAACCTACTGGAGCTCTTGGACCTGCCAGCGGACACGACGAAGCATCAGGCGAGCCCAGGCTCGAAGGCCACGGGAGGCTCCGTGCCCAAGGAGGCGGTCGTGGACGAGCGGCTTAAGAGGTTGGCGCCCACGGCAGGCGGAGTGCCTGTCCTAGGACGGGCCGCAGGTGCAGTACGCAGCGAAGATGATCATGGTGGAGGCGTCGAAGCCTACGCCAGTAGCTGAGGTAAGGCTCAAGCGTGCTGCACGGTACTTGGTGGGGCGCCCAGTTACGGAGTGGCGCTACCCGTTCCAGGGCCTCCCAGTCACGGCGGACGTCGAGGGCGACAGCGGCTGGGCAGGAGCGGATGACGCGAAGTCAACGCAGTGCACGGTGATGTTGTTCGGCGATCGTTGCCTGGAGGTGACTACGTCGACGCAGGGCTGCGTAGCGACGCCCAGCGGGGTGGTAGAGTTCCTAGCTCTCAACAGGGCGGGTGCCTCTGCTATCCTGTTGCAGCAGATCCTCGCATTTTGCTTGATCCACGCGCAGGGATCTGCAGGAGCGGACAGCCCGGCAGCGATGGGGAATTGCCCACCGAGTGGGGCCAGGCCGAGTGCGACATCTCTGCGTCCAGGACCTGTGGATACAGGAGCGAGTCCGGACAAAGGGTCTGAAGGTGATCAAGTTGGACACGGCAGTGAACTGAGCTGACATCGGGACGAAGTACTTGGGCGGCTCGAGGATCGAGGTCTTGCTGAAGTTCATGGGGCTAGCGACAAGAGGGCGCGCGGCTGGCCATGCGGGCGGGTCCACGGCGGCTATGCAGAAGGTAGTTTTGGCAACAGCGCATGTGCGTGGCGCAGCGGGGGCTACCGCAGCTACGGGAGAAGACCAGTGCGACGGCAGCACGATTGGCATCGTTATGCCGCTGTTCCTGTTCATGCTGGTGCACACGATTGGGGCCGCGGTAGCGGTGCGCTACCTCGCCAAGAGGCGTCCGAGGGAGCGCCAGCCCGACTTTGCGGGTGGCGAGGTGGTGTAGGGCACCGACGACGGGCGAGACGAAGGCGCTCAGGGCGGACGCGAGCGGGAAGCACCGCCTCTAGCCATAGACGGCGCGAGCGCTCAGGACGGACGAGAGCGGGGAGCACCGCCTCCAGCCTCAGAGGACGCGAAGAAGGAATCGGCAGCGGGAGGCTCCGTGCCGATCAGAAGTGAAGGACCTCGGCAGCGACGACAGGTCGCGCCGAGGATCGTGGAAGGTCAGTACGAGGAGCTCCACGGCGTTCCACTCAGCGGTGAGCAGATAGCCGTTAGGGACGAACTGATGCGCGACAAGGTGGACGAGCTAAAGGCGGCGCTGAGGGCGCGGGGTGTCAGCGCGACGGGCCTGGAGGCGAACCTTGCCGACGGGCTGGCGAGGGTGGCGGCGGGGCCATCCAGGGCCAGGCGGGGCCCGAGGCCGACTATCGACGAGTTGGTCCAGTCGGCGGCGACTACATCGGCTGCGAACGCCAGCACCTGAAGGTGCACAACAGCCCCTGGGAGACCGCTCCCAGCGGGAGGTTCCGCGGGGGGCGCCGCACTTCGCTCCGCAAAGACGCGGCGAGGAGGCGTGCCAGTGCTATGAGTATAGTTTGAGATGTTGCGAGGGCGCAGGATCGCAGCCCTCTTGGTTCGAAATGGGTCGCGGCTCCGTGGGGGGTGTCGCGCAGAGGGGTCACCAATCTGCGTTGTGGCACCCGACGTACAATAACCCCGGCCCCCGCCTACAATTTCCCCATCGTTTATTCTCACATCTCGCTCTCGCGCGGGAAGTCCTCGCAATTTCCACAGGAATCGCGCTCTCGCGTGGGACTTCCTCGTCATTCATTCAGACGCCGCGCCCTCGACACTCAGGAATCACGCTTTCGTTGCGGAAGTCCTGACGATTAATTTGGGACCCGCGCTCCCGCTCGAGACTTCCCCGCGATTCATGCAGGACACACGCTGCACCAACCCGTCTGCTCGACCTGGCCGCCTGGGTCCGCCTCCCCGCCCCGCCCTCTAGGGCCTTCCCGCCCGATCTGCTTGCCAGGCTCACGCCAAATCCTCAGCTAAAGCCTTCGAACCAGAAGACTGATAAAACCGGGGGGCCACCAATATTCTTGGGGTGCCGCCCAGTGTCCTGAAAGCAGCAGCGAGGCGACGCCAGAGGAGGAGAAGGCCAGTCGGGAGTTCCCCTAACTCGGAAAACGCGGAATTGTGTGTATCATGGCTGGTTGCTTTGAGTCGGCAGCGGCCGCAAGTTTGGCGAAGCATGCGGAGGCGAGAAGCTTTCAACACCCGAATTGCATCCAGGGTGGGCTCAACCCACGTGTCTGTTCCGGACAGCAGGCGGGACAAACACGAAGAACGGGCAAGGGAGAGCTTAGTGTCACGCGAGATTACAGGGTTCCCGAACAACCTGTGCGCAAGGTGGTAGTCGCAGCAAAGCACTTGATGACGATGATGATGATGATGATGATGATGATGATGATGATGATGATGATGGTGGTGGTGGTGGTGATGATGATGATGATGATGATGATGATGATGATGGTGATGGTGATGGTGATGGTGATGGTGATGGTGATGATGATGATGATGATGATGATGATGATGATGATGACGATGACGTTGACGATGACGATGACGATGACGATGACGATGACGATGATGATGGTGATGGTGATGATGATGTCGCTGTTGCTGTTCATGACGATGATGCTCAGGATGACGACGAGGAAGAGGAGGATTACCATGATGATAAAATGATGCTGATGATGGTGGTGGTAGTCGTATTGGTCATGACGATGGTGATGAGGAGGAGGAGGAGGAGGAGGAGGAGGAGGACGAGTAGGGGGAGGAAGAGGAGGAGGAGGAGGAGGAGGAGGAGGAGGAGGAGGAGGAGGAGGAGGAGGAATGCGAGGCGGGGATGAGGATACCGCCAGGGAGGAGGCTGAGGAATTGTACCGGGGAAGGGGCGAAGGACATCGAAGATGGGTCTGAGGCGGGATCGGGGGACACGGATGACAGAAAGGAGCAGGCAGAGGAGGAGGAAGGGTAACCAACAGGGACAGG